AGTGCCCTCCACCCCATCTCCTCTTTCATCTCCTCTTCTCCCTTTTCTTCCCCTCCTCAGTGTCTCAGATCTACAGTCTGCTTCCAGTCATCAGCCTTAACAGTTTGCCTTTGTCTGAACCTTTGTTTGGTTCCTCTAGATTCTAAATAAAAGTAAAATCATCTGGTATTAATCTTTTTCCTTCTGGTTCACTTCTCTTAGATCCCTTCTGGTTAAGTCCATGTTGCTGCAAATGCATGAGTTTTCTTTTTTGATAACTAAATACTTTTCCATTGTGTTTATATGCCACGCCTTGATCCACTCATCTGTTCTGGGACACTTAGGTGGTTTCCATATCTTGGCTATTATAAACAGTGCTGCAGTAAACACAGAGGTGCAGGATTCCTTTCAAATTAGTGGCCCGGTGTCCTTTGGAAAGATTCCTAGGAGTGGAATTGCTGGACCATCAGGTAGGTCCATTTTCAGTCTTTTGAGGAATCCTCACACGGTTTTCCACGGGGCAGCACCAGTATCGTAAGAGTAAAAGGAAGCCACTCTGGGTGCCACTGCCCTGTACTGGTACTTTGCTAGGGAGCAATTGCAACAGAGTCAAACTTTCATCCTTCATCCTCCACTACAGCTGGGTGTCTTTGTTCAGGGAACATCCTACATAACTATACATAACATCATGGTCCTACAGCACCTGGCTCAGAAGCTCCATTGGCTCCTGCCAATGGGTGTGGGAACGTTTAAAGGATAGAGGAGACCATAGAAAGGGATGTGCATAACAAGGAAACTGCTTAGAGGGCACGATTTGGTCTTTAACTATTTTTATTATGGTAGATAATAACATCTTAATTACTTACATTTGGCTGATCACTTCTTGACTTTATAGTTTCAAGAGACTGAGGCAAATGAAAGAAAACAAAGTGAAATAAAGAATTCAGCTTATATCAATACCTCACAAATGTCATGGTTTACCTTGATGTAACCCAGTTCCCTCCTGTCTCTATACCTTCCCATAGACGACATTTGGTTCTCTAGTTGTGTTCTCTAGTTGCACATAAAAATTGCTACTTGTTTGCATGTCCTCAACTCATTCGCTGTAAGATTCTCAAACATCATAGACATGACATTTACAAAGAAATGAAACTGTATTAAGAGGTTTGAAAAGGTTTTTAGAAAATGTAATTAAGAAAGAATTTTATTTGGTTTAATTGACCATCAGATATCAGCTAGGCTGAATTACTCGTTTCTGGAACATCCCAGCTAATCAGCTTTACTTTCTTTGAACTAAATTTGACCTTTCTTCTAATGTCCACTGTGTGTCCTCGCTATGTGAAGATATTTGTATATCCAAGGGTAAGTTTCCTTCTATCCCCAAAGTTCTGTTAACCCCTCCTCTGAATGATTTTGTATATTGTAACAAAAATCGTTTAGCTTTTGCTGCTTTGTCGATTAAGACTAGTCAATTAGCTGATTTAAACATTTCATTTTAATTTTGTCAGTATCGCTTGTTGAACGTAACTTCTTTTTACACTAGCAACACTCAGGAGAAAATCGAGTAAAACATAAGTTATTTAAGTCATTAAAGAACATTAGCAGGAGTGTGTCTATATATTTTTTTCATAGTAAAAGTGGTAACTGCCAGGCATGTGGTGTGAAGTCAGTAAACATGTTGAGCAGATTCATGAAAAAATGAGTTTGAAAGAGAAGGGTCTTTTACAGGGTAATGATTGATTTTACTATAGTTGCCAATGGTAGAAAGGCAATGAGGTAATAAGGGTTCTGGTTTCATTTGTTTATTTGAAATTTGATTCACTTTCTGCTTCACAATTTAACTATAGAAAAAAAAAACTATCACCTTTATTTTTTCTAGGGAAATAATACAGTTTATTATTTTTAAAGTATAAATTTGCTACAGACCTTCTGGTAATTAAAGGAAGCCTGGAAAATTTACTATACAAAATTGTGTGAAGACAAATTATATATGTTTAAGTATCTTTAACTAAAATCTATGTTGCTTAGTGACTCTCTCCTGTGAAGATGCTTCACTCTTGCTATTAAGGGTAAAGACACACTGCTTAGGGTCGCCATATGGTCTGAACAAGACCAGGAGTATTGTCAGGATTCATAGATTCTTCTTGGAGAAAATATATCAACTGATGAAATGTCTGTTTCAAATGGTTCTGTTCCATCATAGATGGAAAAAATTTTTGGCCAAAACATTTACTTACAAGTCAATTGAGAAAGTCAAAATACTCTGACTGTCTGACTGCCTTTACTGAATCCCTTTAATCTAGAATTTGGGAAAACCTAGGGATTAAAATAGTATGTGGGTCCTCAGAATTTTGGAAATTTCTACCCTGTTAGAGAAAGCTGGAGGCTGTACATTCATGTCCTTCAAAGATATATCTTAAGAATTAACTTAGAAAATGAATCTTAATGAGAACACAGGAAGATTTTAGATGGAATAACTTTAGGGGCTGGATTCATGGGGGTTATTTGTACAAAGACTCTAAAAAGAAATTTCTATAGCTTTAATACATTGTGGTGTGTGTGTGTGTGTGTGTGTGCGTGTCTGTCAGTCACATGAATAGAAAAAAGGGCATTCTCCCCTTATTTCCTTTGACACTATAAGGGAATAAAAGGTTAAACAATCCAGTACACTTAAAAAACCTAATTGTCAAAATTGAATAAGACAATTACTGATATGTTTATTTTAGGAAAATGGATTTTTGCAAAACAGGGGTAGAAAGTCGGGTCAAAGTAGTACACATTATACATTACAAATGCTTTTCAAATACATTTTAAGAAAAAAATTGAGCCAAAATTAGCATCTTCTATTCTTTTTAATATTCCCTCATACCTTTCTAAAATGCCTATCCTATTATGTAGCAAAAAGGACATTCTAGATGGCTATAGCTTTTATTTAAAATAAAACTGCAGGATTATCTAATTAAATGGGAGAGCATTTAAGTCCTGTTAAGAATTAAGCAGTTGAGACACATCTACATTTTTACTTACTCAGAAGTTTGTTTGTTTTTTACTAGAAAATAGGAACAATGAACCTATGCTCTTCAAAAATGATGTTTGCATGGCATCTTTGACATAGATGTAGGTTAGTAGTTTACCCTGGGATGAAAGGCATGCCATGGCATGGGATTTTTAAAATGTCTGCTACCAACATGCTGGAAAAAAATAAGGGAAACATCAGACTTGTGGACATTCTAAATATATAGCTTCCTATCTCCTCAAAACAGTTTTATTCATTGCATGACACTTGAATATAAATAACCTGAGTCAATTGTCCTGTGTAGGTAAATGTGCTGTTGGGAGTACTCTGAAATTGTCCCCCACTCTTATCAGTACTTTGCATAAATCTGAAATTCCATGTGGCTATTAACAATAGGTCTATGTAGATTGCCTTGCTGTATAACCTTTCAGATTATAGTATCATGATGTGGTATTACAGACACATGGTTGGTGTTGTTAGAAAAATAGTAAAGGAAAAAGGAGCTTTTATTTTAATGTAAAATCTCTTGTTCTTATATGTAGAATCTCTTGTTCTTATATAGGAAGTATAATACATACATACATACTTACATATTTACATATATACATGCATACATACATACATATAATTTTCATATATAGACATCAAACAGTTGGTATTCCCAAACCCAGAAATTCTACCCAAATGATAGTCCTGGAAATTGTGAAGCCTAGTCATTTGGTACAGATAGAATAGAAATTCTGATTCATTGGTGGTTATCCTTTTGTGTTTGACGGCATCCACAGAGCCCTTCTCTACAAAAGTATTTTGATTCTCACCATAGCTTTTTGGAGTAAGGATTGTAGAAAGGAGCCCAAGCCTAAGGCTTCAACCACAGATTGGTATTTGATTGCACATCTGTCTGACCGCCTATCTATGCTCTTCCTCTAAGCCACATTCCTTCAGTTTCCTCTATCTGACAAACTCAGGTTCTTGTGGTTGGCACTGGCCTAGCTATCAGCCCCACCCCTTGTTGCTCCTCCTGTGCATCCGAAGTCACCCTGGGTTCTTAAGAGTCCTGCACCTGTGAACACTGTTCCTTATCTCTGAAAATCCTTTCTCACATCATTTGCTTAACTCTAGTTCTATTTGAAAACTGAGCTTGAATGTCACTTTTCCTAGGGAAACTTTCCTACCTTCTTCTCTGCTACCTTCTAATTCTTGGTCCTCTTCCTTCATGCTCTCATTGTGCCTCTGAAGAAGTCTGTCATTAAGTCCATCTTTCTAACTACTCTGTGATGGATAGCTACTTGTCTGTCTTTTCCATTATTCTGTGAGCATTTCAAGGACAGACAGTGTGTGTGTGTTTGCACCCATGTGTATGAAAGGATGAAAAAGAGACTCTCTCTTTGCTAGAGATCCCCAAAAGTATTTGTTTTTTCTTCTTGGCATCAAATTCACTCTTTGTATCACTGTAGGAAGATATATTTTTTTTCCTGAAGAACTCTTAACATATGCAATATTAATAGGGCCATATGCTACTGCTCTCTCAGCACCATGAATCACACTGATAACACTGAAAAACATATTCTTGTTTCAAAGGAATATGACCCCACTTCTCCAAACATGAATTCATGTTTTACCAGACAGTTGTTTCTTAGTAATGAAGTTCTATTTATTTTCTTCATAGCTTAGGAGGGGAAAAAAATCTTATGTTACAACGGTTAGGGCATTTTAAAAACAGTAACAGTTTGTAAATATATTGAGTTCTTGTTATCTTTTGTTATAGATGTTGATTATTATTTTACAAAGTACATAGTAAAAAAAATAATTACGAAGTAGGAATATAGCAATAAAAAGAGTAGATTTCAAGTAACTTTAAAAGAAGCAACTATGTCTATAAAAGAGACTGGAGGGGAACAGGGTCAGTGGAATTCTTGTTTGTTTTATAATAGTCCAAGAGTTTATTTTATTACATGTTTAAAATATTATTACAACTTAAGTTTCTTCTTTTTTTCTCCCCCAGGCCAAATTTACAGATGACTGCAAGTTCAGGGAACGATTTCAGGAAAACAGCTATAATACCTATGCCTCAGCAATACACAGAACTGAAAAAACTGGACGTGAGTGGTATGTAGCCCTGAACAAAAGAGGGAAAGCGAAAAGAGGCTGCAGCCCCAGGGTCAAACCCCAGCACATCTCTACCCATTTTCTGCCAAGATTCAAACAGTCGGAGCAACCAGAACTGTCTTTCACAGTTACCATTCCGGAGAAGAAAAAACCACCTAACCCTATCAAGCCAAAGGTTCCCCTCTCCGCACCTCGGAAAAGTCCCAACACAGTGAAATACAGACTCAAGTTTCGTTTTGGATAATGTTCACCCTGACACGTGCAAAAAAACCATACTTTCCCCCTCAGGAGTCATAGGTGTCTTTAGAGAGCTGAAGAAAACATTTTGTACGTTGCTTCAGCTCTGCTACACTGTATGGGAAGTCAGGTCATTTGTTTCAGTTTGCCTGAAACAAAAAAATGCTTTCTGACAGAAACTGAACTGGAATTCTTTGCATCACCATAGGGAGCGCACTGCTTCACTTCACGAAGACATAAAGCCTTTCGCGTTATGCTTAGCGCAGGCTAGCACTGTATTTTCCGAAAGTTCAATAGCGCGCGGACTATGCATTTTTCTGACTTTTGCAGATCAACCTGGAAGAACATACACGATACATTTTTATTTTTGGTTTGCAAAGAATATTTTGGTGCAGATAACTATTTTATTAACTTTTGTTTTTTTAAAAAGTACCTCTGCATTGAGCATATTTTCTTACTTTTATTATTTTAATTAATACGACAGCCATTTTAATGCAGTTTATGAATTATAAATGTATTTAGAGCCTGTTTGTAACGTGGATTTCTTTTTCATTTTTCTTACTCATGGCACTTTTCATTTTTATTATTTTTTTAAACCATACCTCAGATAATGTAAGTTTCAGTCTACATCTTAAAATGTTTAAACCTTCTTTAGTAATACCAAAGGCTCAGCTTGGATTTGTGTGTACATGGTGTGTGTGTGTGTGTGTGTGTGTGTGTGTGTAAATTCATGACATGTGAAATCCTACCTTTTGGTGGCTGGCCTATATTGGGTTCAAAGTAAGGAGAAAATATAAGCACTTTTAAAATGGAATTAAAAGTTGGAGATAAGGGAAAAGGTTAGGGGTTTAATTAAAACAAAATTTGCAGCATTTACTAAGATCTAATTTTGCCTTTACCTCACTTCTGCTTTTATGTACCCCCACCCACATTCTTAAACAGCTGGATGAATACCTTTTATTTTATCAAGCATTTGCTATGAAAATGGAGTGTTTAAAAACACCTCTCTGTGAACCTCTGCTATCTACACTGTGTAGATATATGGTAAGCCACTTACTTAGTGGAAAAACACGGAGACCTGAAGGAGATGAATTGTGTAAAGTAATGCATACCAAGTCCCATTGTCAAAAATATTCTTACTAAACAACTAATACCCTTTGATTTTCCTAGTCTACAGGTAGCCATTCCTATGACTATATCTTTTCTGTGTAAGGAAGTGTTTTTATTCATCTATTTAAAAAAAAATGGTGATGAAATAAGGGAAATTTAATTAGGGAATTTTATGATTGAAAATGACACTTCATTCTCAACCCAATATTGAATGATGGACAGAAATCACAGAAAATTTAAGAATTTACATAAATTACTTTCCTGGTTAGTCATGTTTTATAGAGTACTACTGATCATAAAGATGAACGTTTCTCTTTAGAAGTATGGCAATGAAAAGGTATAACTAATGTTGAAAAAGGAGTATGACTTTCATAGGGAGAGCAAAAGAGTTCACAGAAATTTTGTGGTTTGTATTTAAGTGTGTTTCCTTCCTTTAAAGAATACTGCTAAACATTTTTTTTTCCTAAACCAAATAGGATTTGTTTAGTACAACAAATACAAAGTCAAATCTAATCAAAATTGAACTGGTTACCATTAAAACAAGTTCCGTTTTAATTTCTGTTTTAATGGGGAAAAACCCTATATTCATCTATTACATACAACATACATATACATAAATCCATTCATCAACTAAAACCATGCATATATTCTAACATAGCATTTTATTATAAAACCAATAATTTGATTAAACTGAGTGCATTTAATACACAATTTTTTTTTTATAAAAGAGCAATTGAAATGTGACAAGTTAATCTGTTAAAATCTCTTGAGTTAAATGAAACAATGATTTTACCAAGATGTGTAACTGGAATTACCTTATCTACACATTACACAGTCCTCCAGTTTACTCTAACATATTGAGAATTGTACACTGCATATCAAATTCTTAGTACAAATGGAAAATTAAAGGTGTAAAACAATAGAATAGTAGAGATGTGTTCCTAAATGGACAAGAAAAAGATATTAATGATGATTAACTACAAACTAAATTAATGCATAGATTATATTAGGCTAGTGCTTCTACTATTTTGTGTTGATAGCTTATCTTGTACTCTTACTTGGATTGGATTAGCATATGAAGGTTAAAGTAGGATACTAATAATAGACTATGCAAGTCAGGACTCATTAATTTCAAAATTTAAAGGCAAGGTAAAATAAAAAAAATCTTTAAATTATACTTATCTTTAGTTTACTGGCCATACAAAATTACATTTAATTAATGCTCACTGAGGCATGAAGTTACCTAAATTAATTAATTGAATAGCTCATGTACAGAAAACAGGTATACATATAACTCCTTACTAATAACTCTAACTTTCTCAGGAGGTTTTGCTTATGTAGGTTCTGATGATTTTTAAGTACTTAGATCCATATAACATCGAATAAGATTGTTTAATTGTGTTCGTCTAAATGCAAAGAATTTTACTTTAAATTAGGTTCCTAAATTGCCCAGATGATTGACAAACTGATATTCAGTTTTATTATATTGTTTAATTAATTTAAGATATTCTTTAATTAGGACATCTGCAGGAGTAAAAAGTTTTCTAACAAGATGTATCACAATAGTTTTTATTTCACAAACTTTACCATTACTTCCTTTTAAAGAAAGTAACTTGAAAGTGTGAATGTATATTAATTTCCTTAGTTGTTTCAGTTGAGTAGTCGTGATCCCAAATTTCAAAAGGGTGACAAGGATAAAGGATGTGGTAAAAGTGACTTCTAAAGCTATTCCAAAAAGTTACATTGTCTGAGATGCTTTTATGTCTTGCAGCTGAAAATAAAATTTTATAAATCTGGTAGATAAATAATCTATAAAATTGATCTTGAAATAGAAAATGATAATTTTATTATACTAACAATTTTTACTCTTCTGAAGGAGAGAGGAGTTAAGCCATGACTTCGAACTATTTCAGTAATGAAGTAAAATTACTGAACTAATGAAAAGCTTGAATTCTGGTATAATTTTTACAACTGCAGAAAATTGCAAGTATGGCTAATCTTTTTAAATAAAAAAGAGTATTACAGACATTACTGCCATGAGAAGAAATCTAGTATTATGATTTGCTTCATTGCTACATTTAAACTGTGATCACGTAAAATCTATTTTAAATCAATAATCTTTCTAAAATTTTTAAAAGAAAAGTTTAAATAAATGAACAAGGCTCACTTGTTTTTATTCTGATAATTCAATTGTATCAGCCAATTTTTAAAATAAGATTTTCATATAGTTAAGATTTTTGTAAGTATTATATGAGAAAGAAATTACCTTCTTGAGCTTACTCCATCTTGCTCTCTGCCCTGTTTGAAAATCTTGAGTTAGAGAAGAAAGGAAAACCCAGCTTTTACCAAGTGAGTGCTGGCATTTTTACACCTAAGATAATATAAAATATTTAAACAATATCAAACAACTGAACTAGAAAACACCCATCAGTAAGTAAGCAATTTTATGTAAAAAAGAAGTGCTAGCTTTGAAATCAAGAGGACTTGCATACTTTTAAATCTTATTTTCCTTTGTGTTGACTGCACAATTCAGTTATAAGTCACTTTCATGTCACCCTCCATTGTGTCATCTCTACTGTTACTTTTACGTTAATTGTCATCAATGAATATATAAGTCTTAAAGGTCCTAAAAAAAAGGGATGGTTCCTCCTGAAACAGAACTAACAATCTATGTTCAGATAAAACTGAAAAACCCCATGAATATAATTATCAATAAAGAAATAACCATAGATTTTTTTTAAAGGCCTTGTCTTAGAGTAAACAGAAAATAAACCTGAGAATGGATCTATATTTATAAAATATGATCAATTCTGTACTTAGAACTTTATGAAGAACTTTGCAATTTTGAATGAATCTGGAGGGGAATGGTAAGAGTAGTATTGTTGATAATAAAAAAATTCTAAGGCCTTAATTAAATATGTAATTTTCGAACATCTCTTTTTGAATGAAATTCTACTTTCCTTATGAAGTTTTCTAGAAATTCATAGAGAAATATGAGTAATTTCTTCTTGTTACCACTCTCCAAATAAGTATAACCCCCAACCTAACTTTCCCATCATCATTCCCTTACTTCCTCAATAATCACCTACGTAACTTTCTGAGATCTTGTTTTCCACAGTGCATTCAGCTAATGAAACATTTTTTTTGTTGTTGTTCCCTATTTGTTCAATATGATCTTCATGGACTTTAACATCACTATGCTCTTACATTTTCTCAAGAGAGAATATATCTGATTTTATTATACCTGATCCAACTTAAGTTCAGGCTAATATCAAACATAAGAAGTGCTCGTTTAGCTGATAGCAATTTTTAATATTGTATCTTTCTGACCTAAAATATATATAAAAGTCATTGGACATTCAACTTATTTACAGCATTTGGTATATAATTCTATTTATAGGTCCCTACCATGCATACATTAAGTGTTCAGAAAAGGTTATAGAATGGTCATAGGTGCTAAATAAGGTTTATTTGATGAAGCTGATGATGGTTAAGAGGCTTTCACATGAGATATGAATTGGCTGTAGGAGAGTAAAAACATGGGCTATTTCTTACTGTACTTCTATTTCTCAAACACAAATCCCACGTCCAAACTAAAATATATCAGACACTTTATGCTGCATTTAAGGGTCAATAAATTTGTCATCTTTTGAAACTTAAGTTTCACTGGCAATGACCAAGGTAGTTTTCTATGTAAATCCTAATAATTTAGTCTAGTGTAGGTCAAACAAGAGGTCCAGTGGGATGTCAGTAGGTGTTAGTGGGAGAGTGAAGATATTTCTTTTCATTAATTTGTTTCTACATGCGTTTCTTTCCCCTTTCCTCAGATAAGCTCTCTCAGAGAAGACTGAGTTTTTCTCTATCCTTCCAAGAGATTAGTGAAGACATAATCACATGGCAACAGGTCCAGTTCCAATGTGTTTCTCATTAAATTCTCTGTTGTTCCTGCTGCGGGGAACTAGAAAATCTATCAGATTCCCATACAGGGAGGTGAATTTCTGCTGAGGAGGCAACATGATGTCTTTCACTCTCTAGAGGGCAATTATGGCTCTGCTTCTTCAGCAGAGCTGCATCTGACCAAAGGCCTCTCTTTGTAAGATAGTTGCATCCCATAACCCATTCCCACACTTAGACACAGGTTACATAGATTCATATTTTAAAAATGTCACTAGTTACCCTACAGTTTCTTCATTAAAGGGCCCTGAGGGTAAGTGTAACTATTTTGAAAATATTAAACGTGCAAGAAGAATATAAAAACTTCCCTAGCAGTCACTACCCTGAAGGAACATGTGACAGAATGAATTTTAGATTTTTGGAAATTTCTAAATTTTTAAAAACAATAAACAATATAAAAGCTGTCCTTGTGTGCAGCTTTAACATAAGGATGTGTTACAAATGGCTCAAAACATGTTTTCTGTGTCAGTCATGAAAGAATAATAGTCATTGCCTTGCTAGTATAAATCTCTGAGGCGAGGCCTGCAGTTCTTATAAATTATGATGGGGAGGAAAATCATGCCCATTAGTGTTGCCACATTTGTTGTAT